AAGGGGGGGAGACCATCCAAGTCCTGCTCGGTCTAGAGTTTTTTTTTTTTTTTTTTTAATTTCAAGAGGAGAAGTGGAGCAGCCCTTCCCCTTCCTGCCCCCGCCCGTTCACACGCAGCCCCACGTCCTTCCCCGGGCGGCTGGGAACGGCGCTGGGCTTCCTGCGCCCGCCACCCTCTTCAGGGAGGGTCAGCAAACACATGCGGGGCGGGGAGGCGAAGGGGTGCCGGGCAAGGGCCTCGGACCATAAAACGGCAGCTCCCGGGGCTTAGCACTGCGGTAGGGCTATCTCGAACATCCAGGAACTTTGACTCTTCTGTGAAAAGCTGGTATTAAAAGCAAAACAAAAATACTTCAGAAAAGTTGGGAGAGTTAAGAGAAATTCTTCACTAAATTTCTGCAGATTAAGTTTGTGAGACTTTCCCGTTTGCTTCATAGTGGCACTTCAACATGAACTCTGCTACTACCCAGCTAGCAAGAACAGTCTGCACCCTCATTTGAACTTGTCATTGAGCAGCCCTCCCTACGAATACCCCATCTCAGATGTGCTTTTAGCTCAACTGTAATCACACAGCTCCTTGTTGCTGCATACAGAATAGCGTAGTGGGTTCGTTTTAGCTGCTGTTTCATGCTGCCAGCATAAAGGTTCTGTAAACAACGAACCATCTAGTAGCTCTTTACTGTTTGGATTAGGCACAAGGAGGAAGGCAGAGGTGGGTGGCAGCCACATCCTGGTGTCAGGTTCTGGCTGTAGGTGAGAGTCGAGCCCTTTTTTCCACAGGGAGCCTGTAAATCAGCAGCCATAGGACAAATCAAACTACACACACAGGCCAGGCTTCAAGATGCAGCTCAGGATCAGAGGTATCCAAGTTTCTATGCAAATGGCATAAAGATTTACAGGTTGAGACAAACTCTTATTACATGAGCAAGAATGGATGGGAAATGTAAACAGTTTGCGGCACAAAAGCCCTTATTTAGAAATAAAGCATAAGCAACAAAACTCCAACCTCAGAGGAACTTGAGAACAATTCTTTGTCTCACAAATGCTTGATGAAATTATTTGAGAGAAAATAAAGCCAGTACCTGTGAAACAGAGGTAACAGTAGGGAAGCAAGAGAGGTAGAGAATAGAAAATACTTCCTAAAATGTAGAAAGGATACAGGGGAAGAAAAATGGTAACATACGACAAGAAGGTTCTTAATTACCTGGTGTCCATTAATGTTGTCTCGCCTCCGTCCTTACACCTGTTTTCTGCTTCGACACCATTATGAC